TGGATCTTAGGTCCCTGACCAGGGATCAAACCCACACCCCCTGCATTGGAAAATGGTCTTTCTCCAGGGAAGCCCCGCTCATAGGGTTTTTCTGGGTCTTTATAATAAATGGCTACCTCTCTCTTCACATAGGAAGAAGATTAGGTGAGTTTTTTAAAAAAAATATAAACAATCCATTGGTTTAAAGTAAATTGGCTTTCTTTAAAAGGAAGATGTACCATCCACCAGAGGACATGGGTTCCAACTCCTATTTCTCAAAGAAGGGCTTTGTAAGCTGCTTTGATAGGTGAATGCTGAGATTTTTAAGGAGACATTTCAAGCCTCAGGTATACAGTCAGCTCATTTACACGTCAAGAAGAAAAGTACCTGTAGTGATGTCAAAATTGAAAAAGGAAAGCCAAAGGATAAATAGATGATAGAGTGCAGCATATCAGAATGAGAGGGGGTGGGGTCAAAGAACACTGCCAGTGAACCCGTCTCAGTACGATTCCTTGGTATTTTGGGCACCACCTGTGTCAAATTAACTTCATGGTTCAAGGATATCCTGTTTTCTGAAGCTACTGGGCTTTGAACAATTTTGTAGCATCTGTTGGAAGTAAAATATAACCTGTACCAACTCACTTGAAATTTTTTTTTTTAACTTTGCCTCAGCAAGCCCGTCAGATGTTCTAAGGGTACGTAACCCATTATTGGGCTCAGAGCTTTGATGAAAGCTGATGGTCTCCAAGAGAAATGAGAGGCCCCTGCTTCTGGCCACTTTTCTGGAAAGGAAGAGTGTCTGGGCAAATGTTAACAGTAGCTATGAAGTGAATGGCCAGTACTGCCTAACGGCCCACCAAGTGCAGGCACTGCCCTAGAAATGTTTTATTTCCTGACTTCTTTTTATACTTAGATCTGTTCCCTGCATACTTGCAGCAAAAAACAAAAAAACAGCAAACAAAAAGCCTTTCGCGATGGCCACAGATACAGATTCTCCTACATTAAAAAGAAAGAAGAGAGGGATTATAATTCATTCCTGGTTCTGGCCCTGGCTACAAGCCAGTTGTTAAGTGTTACTCTTCAGGACTCTAGAGAAGTGAGAATAATCCAGGGGTGAACCTTTACAAAACAGGGGCTTTGTGTGTGGTGGGGGCGGGGAGTGAGAGGAAATTTGGCAGAGGAGAGTAACACCTTCTAGTCAGGCTACTTCTTTCCACCCCATGGGTGTGTACTTGGGCCCTGGTAACTACCTGTGTGCAGATTTGTTAACAAAAAAGAAAAAAGAAAAAATCTCTATGAATGAGTCTTAAAAGATTCAGTGTTGGGGGAGGAGAGAGAGGTTGCTTGCTAAAATGCACATATTTAAGGTATATAGGCAGAGATCATATTAAATTAGGAAAAATAACTGATATACATGGTATTTCCACCTCAGAAAGCCTATATGATTAGGGGAGAACAGTCATGTGTAGTCCCCAGAGGCTGTTTGACTACCTAGTAAGATGACAAAAAATTTTCCTTTTCCATTTCAGGAAAGTACAGGGAGAGGGAAGTGAGGACTCAATCTGTGTTAACACTGTCTACCCTTTCAGATTGCTCATGTTGATCCAGATGAAATATTGTTTCTGTTCTTCACTTTAAAATGTTTTCAGAACTAAAATACATAAAAATCAGAGATGCCTATGCTGGTTTCTATTAAAATAAATATAAGTTTATTATTTTTAAAGAAAAACACAGAGGCTACATAAGCTTACTTGTTACATGCTTCTATTTAAGAACTTCTGATTTCAGGGACAGAAAATGCAGAAGTATGTTTCATTTCCCCCCGAAGCTTGAGCTTAATCTGTTAGAGCTGAGGAAGCTTACCCCTAATTAACTTTAAATGATCAACTTCAATTAGTTTTGATAAATAATACTGTGTAATCAAATCACCACCGAGTCAACTGGCAGTGCTGCAAAATTGATCATTTAAATCATGGAATTATTCTCTTTAAATGTAGTCTACAAAAAAAAAAAAATCACAAAATCAGCCACAGGCTTGGACAATATTTTAATCACCTCTGAAAGATGAGGATTAGTATGGATAAAATAAAAAAGATCATTCAAGTTCATTTAAAAAATTGACCCCTGTAAATAAACGGGCAAAGTATATCAACCAGAATTTACATGCAAGAGGAAAGACAAATTAGCAAATGTTTCAAAAATATTTCTGCCCTCATTTTGTAATCAAAGAAATACACATTAAAACAACCCCACAGTCTGACTTTACACCTGCCCGGGAGCATCTTTTTTAAAGTAATTAACAAAAACATCCAAGGTTAACAAGGTGGAGGTGGGGGTGGTTCTCTTTGCTGGAAGGATGATACACCCCTGAAACCCCTTCAGAGAGCCATAAGGATTCTTTTCTTGCCTGGAAACTGATCAATAAAAGACTACAGCCAGCCGCCCGGCAGCCTGATTGTCACAGAGTGACTGAGCGTCCACGGGAGGAGGGTGTCCCAGCTGACTGAATCCTGGCTCAGCCCCTTATGTCTGCCACCTCCCCTCAGTGCCTCAGACTCCAAGTCCTTGGAAGAAAACTAGTAAGACCTATCTTCCGAGGCTTCTGTAAGCCTGAAGTGAAATCACAGAAACTTTATCTTAAAGGATAATAGGTTTTATTTATTTGTTGGCCATGTTGTGAGGGATACAGGATCTTAGTTTCTAAGTCCAGGAATCAAACTCGTGCCCTCTGCTGTGGAAGTCCTAACCACTGGACAGCCAGGGAAGTCCCTCATATTTGTTCTAAAGTGCACGTTTTCTTAGTATGAAGTCTATAGAAATCATGAGATGTTTATGAAATAATATATTAAATAATATATTAAATAATATATTAAATAATATGTTTACTCATTGAAATTCTTCATGTGAATGCAGTGTTCAAAAATAAAACAGATGTATAAGGGTAGGGTTATGGTTAACCAAACATGATTTTAATGTTGTCATGTTTCTATTTATAAAACTAAACTGTGTACTACAATCGGGCACACCGGAGAACAATTCCACACCTTGGCATATACTTAAGAGCTTCCGTGGTGGCTTGGACAGTAATCTGCCTGCAATGCGGGAGACCCCGGTTAGAAGCCCTGGGTCAGGAAGATCCCCTGGAGAAGGGAATGGCAAACCACTCCAGTCTTCTTGCCTGGAAAATCCCATGGACAGAGGAGCCTGGTGGGTTACCATCCATGGGGTCGCAGAGTTGGATGTGACTGAATGACTTAACACTTTCACTTCACTTTCATTTTAGCATATTAAACCAATCAAATGTACTTTGCAGAGAAGAAAAACTACTAAATCACTTCCCTAACCAGTCATTTACATCTACTTAGATCAAAATATTTCCACTTTAAGAGAATTTCTGTATTTCTATTAAACTAGGACTTTAGAAGTTGACTCACTCTGGCATAGATACAGATAAGATTATTCAGAAGAAGCAAAGAGAAGATCTTAAGAGGTACTCTGACTAAACACAGAGGCATAGAAAAAATTTTGGAGTTATACATTGTTTGGAGTTATTAGTAACTTCTTGGTCTAATTAGTCTTTCAAAAATTTTATTACACTAATAGCCAAAAGCACGAGAATATGATACCATATGCTTTTTGGCAAATAAATATTCTGAGAATATTATTAGTTAACTAACAAGTCCCCCTAGATTTCAGCTTATTGATCTGTAAAAAGGAGCTGGTCATATCCATAAATCAGGATTATCAGGAAAATAAATAAAACAACATATGTAAAGAATGTAGCACCATGTCTGGCACTCAGAAAACAGCTTTTCCTTATCTTCCCCAATCGACCTATTCATTTTTTCTGAGAAAAGATAGCATGCCCTATCTAACTCTATGTGAGAATAATGAAATAATATGCCCCAAAAAAGTGCTCTGAAAAATGAAGCACTCTAAAAACACAGAATACTATTATTTAAAAAAAAAAAATGTCTGTAGGATTAGGGAAAATACACGTGTCTAAAAATGTTTTGAACTACAGCAAAGCATTTAATAATCACTGAAACAACAGCTTAAGGGTCAAATAATTCTCTGAAAATCTTTCATTGGCATTGATAAAAAGCTAGCTGTGTGTATATTAATCTAAGCATTCCTTTTCATTCTCTTTTTATTGTTTTCAACGCATTATTTTACTTTTGGTTTTATTCTGTCCACATCTCATTTCTCTGCTTTATTACATCGATTTCAGTTAGCTTTATCCCTGCTGCCGCTCTCATTTCCTCTGATTTAAGAGAAAGATAAATAGGAAGGCAGTGCTGTGACAAGCCAGACTGAAGCTTGGGGCAAAAGGAAATGTCAGTCATACTGTTTTTATTGAAAAATTTTTATCATTTGTTCATTGTGGATTTTTTTTTATGTTGATGTTGATTTTTCTTTAAATATTGCGTTAAAATATTTAACTTGACCACTGAGTTTTTTGGCATCTCCTGAAATTCTGTGCACAAGGCACATAGCTCATTCACCTTGCCCTCATCCCAGGCCTGCAAAAATGGCAGAGGGAGGTCAGAATCCTAGAAGTTGTGTAAACAGAATAGACGCAGTAGCCAAATGCATATACACAAGGGAACCTCACTTGATTCTTCTACTCAGGAAGAAACCTGCATGTGGACCATTCCACTTTTTGTCTTGCCAAAGATGGGAAGAAAGAGCAAAAGAGAAAAAAGATGTCTGAAATTTTTTAAAAACACACCCCTTTCTAGAGAAATCCACTCTGACGTCCTAAATTCAGTCTCTTGGCTGAATTTAGGATTTGGATTTGTTAGGACAGAAGAAGAGGCAGAAAAGCATCTTTGTGCCACGCTGAGGGTTAGCTCATGGATGGAAGGGTTTCTAAACTCCGATTTGCTGGGAGAGGATAAGAACAATTTAGGGGAAATGCGTTGAAATGTGAACAAATAGTACAAGGTGTCATGGAGGGAAAACCCTGGAAAAAAGTGTCTGGGTAAGACTGCCTCCTTTTGATTGTGACGCTGGCAGGCATGTTTACATTCTTCTCCTTCCAAGGGCACAAGAGAGCACAGTGAGTCCCTGGGTTCTATCTGAGGCAGCTGGCCCAGCCTAGAATCTTTCTAACAAGTGAGCCAGCCTTCCATTCCGTATTTCGAGATAAGGCCCCAAGTGCCAGGAGGAAATGCCTAAAATGAGAGACTGTGTGTGAATATGCTTTGTAGACTAAATACACGCAATTGTGTAAAAGGCACTGTCATCACTGACTCAAGGCGCCATGGATGTTGGATGGCTGGTAACATGTATTTTCTTTGAACACTTTGGCTCAGCTGGATTCGGAGTCATTCGGGACATAGGTTACAAGAGGAACGAATGGCAACAAATCATCGCATTTAACCACTTGCCACCTTCCTCAGCCTGTGGCTCAGCCACAGGAATCTCAGCTCCAAGGGTGAAGGGGCAGGGAGGAAAGAGGAGAAAGAAAACTTAAAATGCATTCTTGATAAGAGAGTGAAGAATTAACTTTCCAACTGAAGCCACTTGGCATTAGTGACCACAGCTTCGATGAAACCAGCTAAACCTGTCTGATTGATGACTCAGCATTAATTCACAGGGGAACAAGATTTAGTCAGATTCCGACTCTGAACTTTTACCAGCACTGTTACAGAACAACTCTGTGCCTCAGTTTTCTCACCTGTAAAGTGGGTAGAGCCATAGTCATGACCGTAAGGTTGTTGTGGAGGTGAAATGAGTCAGTACATGTTAAGTGCTTAACACGGTTGCCAAGTAATTTGACTCACTGCTTTGGTGAACAGCAGCCGAGTTGTAATTTTCATACGTTTATAAGTAGTTTTACAAACATCTTCAAATGCTTTGTTAACCTCAGCCCTATCCATCAAAGACTGCCATTTTCTTTCTTCCAATACACCTTCCTACCTCATGCCAGTATTCTTCATGTCACTGGACTGAAGACATGAGGAATCCTAAGTAGCAAGTCTGAAAATCCAAGCAAAAAAGAGAAAGATTCAGTTCTTTTAGATCCCAGTCTCATTTTCTTGAAACCTAACCAAGTGAGAGATGTAGATCAGATTGGCTTATCTACACCTGATCAGAGGTGTAGATCAGATTGGCTGTTCAGGACTGGGAATGGTGGGTGTGCCCAGGTATATAAAACTCAGGAGACATTAAGGTCTGAGGTTGTTGAATGTCTAATGCTATTAAACATCACACCCTGAAGCTTCTGAGGTGAAAAAAAAGTCCCAGTCCTTGGCCTGCACTGACGAACGAACAAGGCCAGCTGCTGGGCCCAGTGTCCACTGAGTCAAGCAAGTAGGGAGGGGAGGGAAGAGGAGAAAAAGGGGACTTACCACCACCGGGGCAAAACCCCCGTCTTTGTAAAAAGAGGCTTCTTCTTACTGGGGCAACGTTCTCCAACTGGAAGGCCACATCCTGTGGAAAGGCCTGCCTCCCCCTTGTCTTTGGCACTGTTGCCTGGATTGCACCCTGGTTCTTGTGAGGAGCCCACTAATCTCTCGACCTCTAAAATAGTATGTTTGCCAAACAGAAGTAAAAGTGAAAGTGGAAGTCGCATCCGACTCCATGGAACTCTCCAGGCCAGAATAGTGCAGTGGGTAGCCATTCCCTTCTCCAGGGGATCTTCCCAACCCAGGAATTGGACCCAGGTCTCTCACATTGCAGCCGGGTTCTTTACCAGCTGAGGAACCAGCAAAGCCCGAGGATATACTGATATATTGAAGCCAAATTGTGTTTGCCAACAGAGAGGAGATGCAGTTCCAATTCCAGGATAAAATACTGATTAGAGTTCACAGTGTCTATTGCTGACTTCAAAGTGACAGGTCTGGTAGCAAGAGCCCAAGGTCAGACTCACAAGAACCCAGTTCTCTCCATGCGGCCATGGCCTCAGTGCTTACCTTCTCTGGGCTTCAGTCTCTTCATCTGCGAATGTGAATAACAAGGAGTTGTTACAAGGAGTTGGCAAGAACATTGTTGACTCTAAAGCCCTACAAAGAGGAAGGTGTTACATTGTGACTCCTGTCAAAGCTCCAGGGGTTGAGGGAGGATCACGCCACAGAGCTCTTGTCTGGTCCAGTCTGGCACCTAGAAGTGGCTCAGCCGGTGGTGACAGACCCAGCAGCCTTCTGGGCCCTACTCTAGTGCTGCATCGCCCCAGGAGGAACTGGGTGAGGCTGAGCCAGCACAATTCAAAAACTGCTTCCAGACTTGTACTGCCAGAGAGGACTTCGAGTTGCGGGTAGGGTTTCAGAGAGACAAGTTGGTACATGACTGTGATCTTCAGCAAGCTACAAAGTTTAACACAAAATATAAAAAGGGCAGATGTGTGAGATGTGTGGGCGGGTAGGAGAGCAGGGGTGCAAGAGAAGAGATATTCCATTAGCAAAGAACAATGTCCCAACAACCAGCTAAGCCTGGTGAAACCCTTCTTGGTGGAGATGAAAGAGTTTTCAAGTCAATCAGAGAAATACTGCTACTATCAGATTTCCAGATGCTTCCAGGGCTCTAGGGACAGGAGGTCCTTAACCGCTGCCCACCTGCCACCACTGCCTGTCTCCACCCACCATGGCAGAAAGAAGAGTTCAGCAGAATGAGTTACTTCTCGCAACCTCTAAGCCTGATTCTACACAGGGAACTCAAGCCAAATTTCTCTTTAGAGGCCAACTGCATGTGGTCTTCATAGAGCTGTCTTTTTTAATTCGACACTGGATGGGTGCAGGAATGATAATAAAAACCCATGCCAGTCCAGATGCCCACTGCTGCCCCCTCTCTTTGTCTGGCAGCTCAGTGCCCTCCTCATTACCTCCTACCCCAGGCTCAATCTCCCAAACAGGTGACCTGGGTGCCAGCTGGTGAAAGCAGAGAGGGGGGAAATGCAAAACCACAGTGTTAATGGTGGTAGCACTGATGTCCTGCCCTGACCACCAAAACTGAACCCTCCCCAACTCTGAGCCTCAGTTAACTACTTGCTGTGGACTCTGGAGCCCACGTTCCTGCTACAGGAAACTGATTTGATCAGCAAAAAACCCAATCTTGCCCCTGGAGTGACTTGGAGAAACTGCCTACTCTTCAAATAGACTTAGCATGCACAAGCATCCGACCTCTTATTTATTTAAAGTTTTTATCATTGCAGTGGACACGAAACTTGGTGACAACCACAGGTCACCCTAATCTAACCGACACTCCGGGTTGAATAGTCTCTTAACTGGGCCTCCCCGGTGGCTCTGCATTTTTAATTAAAATAAAATGGGTACTAGCTTAACTGTTGCGTTTGTTTTACCTAAATCCTTATTTTGCATTCTGAACTTTCCCCTTGATGCAATTTAAATGGGAATGAACCGAGTAAATGACCATTAATAATTTCAAATATTCATAAACTCGCTAGGAAGTAGACAGCACCTCTCCGTCATGGGAAGCTCTTTGCTAGCACACAACTATTCGAATAAGCGGCAATGAGAAGACGAAATAACGAGGCAGCTCGTCTTGGCCTTCGACGGTGTCTTAGAAACCTGAAGGAGTGATTAGGTCGACGCGCAGATGGCCAGGCCTCCTCGAGACTCCGACAGACCCGGCCTCCTCGCGACAGGGTGTCGCGCCTCCACCGCTTTTCCGAGAGGAGCGCGGTAGAGCTCCTCCCGCGTCCCGGGCGCTTGGGTTCCGCAGGGCCTGGACCCGGCTGATGGTTCCCGCCCCTGGGGAGTGAAGAGGCCTTCTTTCGGCTCTGCCAGCCCTGGGGACACTCAGTGGAGGCGCGGGCCTGAGTGTAGGGCTGCGCCGTCGAAGTCCGCGGGAAGGGGAAGCAGGAGCCCTCACCCCGGGCCTTTTTCTGGCGACTCCGTGGGCCCGGCCATCAGCGAGCCGCCGCCTGTAGGCCTGAGCAATGGGCGCAGCCAGCGAGGGGCTGGACTTCCGGGCTTCGCGCAGAAAGCCCATTTCTCAGCATCCGGGGCGCTCTGGGAGTGTGCACGGCACATGGCACCAGTCCACGCACTCACCCCAACCTCCGACCCTGGGGAGCGCTCGCTGAGCCACGGAGCAGCGGCTCCCCACCAGGCCGGCTCCGCTCCACCGCGCCCGCGGCTCCTTAGGGATACAAGGAGGAGCGCAGCGGGCTGCCGGGCACCGGATGGCCGGGACTACGATCGGGAGCGCCCGGGACGCTGGGACTGCTCTTCCGGACGCCACGGGGCCGAGCCCTTCCGCAGCCCGCAGCTCGCAGCTCGCAGCTCTCGCCCAGGACCTGGGCCGGAGCCGCCACAGATGCCTTCGGGTCAAACCTGGAGCAGCTTACCCCAGTTCTTTCAATCCCTCACACTATTGCTTAAGTCGTAGGAGGTCGGGGGTAGAGTGAGGCGGGGATAGAGGCCAAGTCCCCTGGTAGCAGGGAGACAAATAGGGCGCACTAGGCGGCCGGGGATGAGGCGAGCGAAGGGCCGTCAGCTCAAATCTCTCCAGGGGTGATTTTAACACGCCGAGAGGTGCAGCATATGGTTTGAATGTTGGGCGGAGGATACAAAGAACGACTTTGCGCAGAGGGAGTCTCCTGACACCAAAACCTAGCATTCCCGACTTCGTGGGGTCTGAGTGGCAGGAGACTGAATTTTTAGTTGAGTTGCAATTAAAGGGAGATAATTATGCCCCGGCCTCTCAGCTTATTAATATTTATAGCCTGGAGCGACAAGACCTTCGCTCCTTGGAGGCGGATTTTTTCAACCCCAGGCACGGAACCCGGATGTCTCTGCAGACATGGGCTTCGCCAGTGACCCGAGAGGAGAAAGTGAGGTGTGTAAAACAGAGCTCGTCCGCTTTCTGCGTTTCTCCTAATTAAGTAAACCGTGGAAGTTGAGCCTGGGTGTGGATGCGCCCCGCGGGTACCGCTGCCAGTGCTTCCCGAAGCGGCCGGGCCAGCACCTCGCAACGCCTCCGGTCCAGCCCTCGGCCCGGCACCCGTCAGCGCGGGTTTCAGGAGCCCAGTTGTTGTTTATTGTCTATTAATTAATTACGCAAACAATACCCTCCTGCAATAAGGTTCTAGCCACTGGGAGAGGCAGGGTGTCAGGAACATGTCCCAATAACTAGGACTCAGGGTAAATGTCTTTTATGCTCCCTCCCTCCTCTTACAGAGCCCGAGGGGCGAGTAGTAGTAGTCAACGCCGCTTGGCTTTGGGATGGTTCTTAAAAAATGCCCACGCCGGGGTTCTGTCTGCATCTGCGGGGCGCCGCGCTGCGTTCCTCCTCCTGGCGCGGTCCTAGGGCGTCGGCGAAGCGAAAGGGGCTCTCTGCGCCTCGCGTCACAACCCGGGCCTGGGCGACGAGCCGGAGTGGCGACGAAGCAAGGGCTGCGCGGGCCGATCCCGCAGGGGCCTCCACCCGGGGCGTCGGGCTCGACCAGCAGGCTGAAGCGTTGCAAAGAGTCCTTCACGCAGTGTCTGATTTCTGTTTTCCCCGCAAGGCTGACGGGGACCAGGAGGATGTGTGTCTATCCGCTGGAGTAGGGGGGCGGGGGCGGGGGAGGGGCGGCGTCCGCGCGGTCCATTCTCAGGTAATAAACGCTCGGTTCCTCTGGGGCGCCGCCGCGTTCCCATGGCAACGCAGCGCCTCGCAGCTGCCCCGGAGTGTCGGCTGCAGGAGGCTGCGCTGCAAATGGAGCTCTTCGCAGTGGCCGCCGCGGCAGCCAGCCTCTTCCTGCTCTTGGTATTCCTCGTCTTCGTCTCAGTCTACGTCGGCTCTGGGCCTCTCCACCAGTCTCTGTCCCAGAACTGTTAAATGCAAAAAGAAATCTATCGTTGCAAGGGGTGCTCCTAATAGAGCTGCACACCACGAAGGAAGGTACCTGCTACATCCTACGGGTCCCGAAGCGGTCCTCGCCTCTGCACCCCGGCCCAGATGCGGCGACGCAAGACACGGCTTCAGAGTCCATCGGCCCTGGGGGCTGGTTAGCACCGACATCAATCAATGAGGAAGACTCACTGGGTATTAAAAGGGTGATCAACAGGCTCTTATTATAATGATAATGGATTGTAGCATAAAGACATATTTATCAGAGACGTGGAAGGCATTGTAAGCGAGTTTTCTTCACACACCATCTCTTTATACACACACACTCACACCTGAGAAGAAAACGTTTTTGGCAGGCATGAAATGAATTTTTCTATTTACCCACATAAAGACTGTGTAACTCTTGAGTGGTGGAGTTAAACAGGATGGAACAGTGGCACTACAATATTTACAATGAGGAATCTGCTACTTCAAAGATAAAAGCTATACTGGTTATTCAGTCCATTGCCATTTTTATGTGTACAACATTTTTAAATAGGTTAGCCCAGTTAAAAAACAATAATGGTAATGATGAAAATCTTCAGTTTTATTATGGGAAAGTAAATATGATAGAAGGGTATTCAATGCTAATGTCCAATAAATAAAAACACTTGCTTTTTGTGGCTAATTTACACTTACTGCTTGAAATAATGTATACTAATATTGTTTTTGTTTTCTTGACATTCCAGCAGGGTCTTGGGTGACTGCCATATTATCCATTCACTACCCCTTCTTATCCTGCTTTTTTCTATCTTTAAAATAAGTTTAAAATTTTTTAGAATAGTTTAGGCTTGTCGAAAAGTGGCAGAGCTTTCCTGTTCCCAGTTTGTTTCCCCTATTGTTAACATCTTGCATTAATGAGGTACTTTCGTCACAACTAATGAACCAAAACTACTATATTATTATAAACTAAACTACATACTTCATTGGAGTATCATTCAAAATTTTTCTTTTTTCTGTTCTTAGATCCCATCCACGATATCACATTACATTTAATTCTCATGTCTCCTTAGGCAGTGACAGGTTGTCAGACTGTCCTTGTTTTTGATGACCTTGAGAGTTTGAGGATCTGTTTAAATTGTGGTATAATTTACAGATAGTGAAATGCACAGACTCCAAGTTATAGTGTTATGAATTTTGAAAACTGCATATACCTTATATAATCCACATTTGCATAGAAAACATCAGTCTTATATTTGAAATGTCACAAAAAAATGGTTTCGATGTATTTGTATAGCTTCTCCCACAAAGATACACAATATGCTAAAAATATCCCCAAATATTTCAATTCCAACTTGATATTTAAAATTTTTCAGTTCCAAGGAATATTAAAGAACTATTAACCTACTACTGTTATCTTAATGAGCTGTTGATCTCTTAGTTCAACAATCTTAATTGATGCTACTCATCGTTCTTTATTCTAGAACATTTTCTTCTCTATGGAGAGTAGTCTAGGCATGCTCCTTAAGAAACCAGACAAATTGGGGGATGAGTCAATCTGAGGATGCTTACAGGGATGGCTTAGTAATTTTAAAAAGCAGATTCTTCATTTTTAAGTTTTTAATACTGAGGTGATGATTAACGCACTCATTCATGCACAGCTCTTGGGGGAACTGTTTTTAAATACATTTCAGCAATTTTGTCATAGCTCAGTGATTCTAATTATATTTTAAAAGTGTTTCACACTTCCTTAAGTCCTTAAGAATTTGACACGTGGTATAACCCTCAAACATATATATTTTAAGTGATATGAAATAACTTAGAACTTCATAGAAAGGTCTTATACCCTTGTGAACATGGACACTATAACCCAGAATGTGTAACAGGTGCGTTCACAGATGAGTGAAGCACTCAATCATAGGCATACCTCATTTCATTGCACTTTGCTTTATTGCATTCCACAGATTGCAGTTTTTTTCTTTCTTTAATAAATCGAAGGTTTGTGGCAACCCTGTATTGAACAAGTCTATCTGTGCCATTTTTCCAAAAGCCTTTGCTCACTTCATGTCTCTGTATCATATTTTGGTAATTCTCACAATATTTCAAACTTTTTTATGATTATGTTTGTTATGATGATATGTGATCCATAATTTTTGATGTTTTACTACTATGACCTGCTAAAGGCTCAGATGATGGTTAGCATTTTTTAGCAATAAAGTACTTTTAACTAGGTGTGTACATTTTTTAGACATAATGCTATTGTACAGTTAACAGATTACAGTATAGTATAAACATAACTTTTATATGCACTGGGGAAATGAAAATGTGTATGACTCGCTGGATCACATTTATTTGCTCTATTACAGTGGTACAGAAACGAACCTGCAATATCTCTGAGGTACACCTGCAATAGAATCTTATTTCCTCTCATTTCTGTGGTATTTCATGCTAGCAGTTTCAGTGGATCATATTTTTATGGCTAGTAATATAGAGGAATGGACATCAGAGAATATGTAAAACTTAAAGGCCATGTTTCTCCTCATTACTATTCACTATTTATGCAGGACTATTTTTAAGAACCCCAGTAGGGTTGGAGCCCTGACCACATTTAGTTGAAGGTGGTCATGTCAGATGATGCTTCTGTCAGTAATTCCAGAAGCTGCCTTTCAGAAGAAATTTTTGGATATTATAGCTTTTAAAATCAGGCCATTTTGTGTCAACACAATTCAGGCCCCATGTTATTTTTCCCAGTCTACAAGTAAAAATCAAGCCAACAAAGGCAGAAGACTGTTCAAAAGGTATGGGTAGCAGTAAGCAGATGACAAAAGAAGATGCAAAGATCTGTGTAACTAGCATGAGTATATTTTCCACCCATTCTAAAGAAAAAAAATCTCAGTTCCTACCCAAACCAACTAATATCAACAAATAGCCTCCAGAAAAATAATTCTGGAGAGGAAGAGAATGAATTTTTTTTGAGAAGTAATGCCCTTTTAACGAAGCCTACCTTTATGTATAGCTAAGAAAAGACAATGTTAAACAAGTTAGCATCTGTGATATTTGATTATTTGCCTGAATTTGGATAAGTTGTGACTATCAGAAAGGATGTCAGAAAGTCTACGTTTTTCTACATGCTCACAAATTGTATTTCAGCAGCAGTCACTCATGGCTGAGTGTTTGGCTGAGCAGAACCATGGAATCCTGTGTGCACTGGGTCAGGCAGCAGTGACTAACAAATGTGGCCTCTGAGATTAGATAGCCAGGTCTATATCTAGTGCCACCACTGACCTGCAGGTGACCTTAAGCATGTCACTTAACTGTGCCCTCAACTGTAAAATAGGATATTAATATCAACTTTATAAAATTGTTGAGAGGGTTAAATGACATAACACTCAGAATAGGGAGCACATAGGAATCATTTAATAAGTGATAAATATTATCATTATTTTACTGTTATTAATTTTTGAATAGCTGCCACATCCAGGTAATATACTGCAATTTTCAGTAATGTAAAAATCAGATATGTTAGTACATGAAGTCTAAAGATCAAATCCCTAGGTTTGAGCCTGTTTGACCTA